GTTTGATTTTGTTTAACGTCCTATTAACAGCTAAGGTCATTTAAGGACGGCCTCCCCTGGGTGCAAGATGCATGCGTGTAGTGTATGTGTGTGTATATTGGGAGGCTGCGATATGTTCGTGTTTGTCTCCTTGTGATAGCGCGAAACTGATGCCTACTTTATAGTGCTACCTCACTGAAACATTCTGCGAAATGCCCAGTCTGACCACGTGTGAAGTGACAGCGTTTTAATGTAAACAGATCGATCAAGTAATGGCGGGTCATGTTATCGTTCAACATAATTTATGAAAGAACATAGTATTATAATCGGTCAGCATCACATTAATGATGTTCTTACCGATAAACGAGGCTGAAAATTGGCCGAAACCATGCCTCGCCATCCATCTTCCCACATCTTCCGGGCTCCAACCACGCGAATGGGCAGCCATTTTTGTGAAGAGTGATAACAGCGCCCTCTATCAAGATTGATTTTTTTATCATAGGAGTTGCGTCCCTTGACCCACATACCGGAAGCGACTTGCAAGCGATACAGTAATGTCACGCTGCCAAAGTTTCAGCACGTATTTCAATAACGCAAATCTACATCCGAGCTTCAACCAGATATTTTCATATCACACCACCATGTAAATTAATTAATCACGTTTTATTTATTTTTTAAATATTTTTTTGTTTTGTTTCTCCAACGTACAACGACCCACAGAAACGAAAATACAACAACAACAACAACCAATAACTACGATTTTATTCAATGTTCAACCACCCACGTTAACAAAAAAAGTTTGCCGTCCCAGGGGGGGGATGTCTTTTTTTCTGGAACAGCCCTTACTTGGTTAAACCTTTTTTTTCTTATTTTAGCTACTATCATAGTCTTTCTCGGGATGATCAGCCTTTTCTTTGTGTGAAGGAGAAAAGAGAGGTAAATATATTCATTATTTTCGGATTTCATATTGGCTGTCATGATCTACTTTATGGAGAGTTTAAGACTGACCAATAGATAACCTCTCAATAGAGAAGCTCCCAATAGAAGGCTAGTCAATAGACCTGAGAATGTAAGACGTCACAATTTAAGGATAAGGAGGCGCCTATACAATCTAAGACAGAGACATAAAGGTATAGATAAATGTTACAGAATAACTTGCAATAGCATAAATTTGAGATTTTTGAAAATATTGATCCTACTATGTGTTTAAAATATTCTTTTTTCAAACTGTTAGAAGCAGTACATGATTTGGAAATGGGCACTATAGAGACGCCTCCAGCTAATATAGGAACCTCTGTAGAGGAGCAAGAAGAAATACGTGCTCAAGGGGGACAGCCTAGAGTAGACGCGGTACAGCCTGGAGGGGAACTGTGGCGAACAGTTTCAATTGCAAGTTTGTTTGATTTCAACATTTACAGAAAACCTCATTCCAACTAAAATGATATATATCTGCTTGTCAATTTCTTATTGAAGTTTTTGTTTTTTTTGGTTTTTTTACAATTCAAAAAGTTATCTGTTTAGTCTTGACCATCTCCTAAAAAAGAATAAAACAGTAAACTGTACATATTTAAAAAAAAAAAACAATTTATGTATGTTAAAATGAAAAAATATTTAAGTAAAATTGTTGATATATTTTGGTGAAAATGTAAAACAAAATCATACCTGCTGATCATTTCATGCGCTGCGGTTTCATTTTTCGTTAGCTCCCCTATAGGTTCCAGAGGTGGCATTACATCACTGTCTAATGTGAAAAGAAGTATTATTGAAATATTTATTATGCATTTTAAATTTTGATGTTAATTTAGTAAAACTATTTATATTAAGAAGTAAAAGAGTTGAGATATATAGGAAATATAGTAACCTACTAGGCTTAAGGTTCACAATCTTTGTCATTCTCCTCATAGTGTCCTGATATGGTCTTCTTGTAGGTATTAGGTCTGTTTCACTATCAGAATCTATAGAAAAAATGTAAAATTAGTATTACTTTTATTAGAAAATGATTCATTATACATGTTGGATTTGGATTTAAATTTGAATGTTAATTTGATTGAACAACTTTAGATTTTCTTTCAAATTTAAGCAGTAAATAAGTTGACTTATATAAGAAATTGGAAGCTTGCCTGATGAGGATGGTTCGGATATGGCGAGTATGCTGTTTCTTGTTCTTTGAAATTTACTCTTCCTGGTTTTTATTGGTGTTGTAGTCCATATTAAATCTAAGTTTTGGTGTTTATTAGTATGTTAAATATTTTGTACTAATCGAAATGATAAAAAATATTTCTATGCTGATAACATTACATAAACTTACTCATTATTGAAAGTTTCCAATTTATAGAAGAAGTGAAATGATTAATTTTAAAATGTCTACTTACCCCTATTTCATGTTTATTGATAAAGTTGAAAATTTAAATGCTTGAGTCTAAGTTGTCTGACTTGCAATCAACCTTTCATGATATATACATTATGAATTTAGCTTTCATTTCTGTTGTGAAATGTTTTGATTTTGTAGATGTTTAAAATTTCAATTAAGATGTAAAATAAAAATTTCTTAATTTCATCGAGTCGTGTGATAATTCCTCCAAAATCTTCATAGGTATGAATTATGATGATTAGTACTATCAGCAAACTAGCTAGGTGCATATTCATGATTCTTGTTCAGTGTATGATTGATCAAGTGAGTGTTCAATAAACCCTTTCAAATATATAGTTTCAAATGTTGCATAACTTTCAATGGTTGGGATAGACAACATTTAGATGTATAGATTTTGAGTGTCAGAGGGATAAAATCATTAATGGGATAGACACCATTTCAAACTTAAAAGTAAAGTTCTGCTGGGCAGATTGAACTGAAATCGGCCAAGTAAAACTTTACTTTAAGTTTGAAATAGTTTTTCAAAATGGCGACCACGGCGGCCATATTGGATTTCTGATCGACCCGAAAAATAACAACACTTTCTCAGGACCATGAGTCGATCACTCCTACCAACTTTCAGTTCAATCGGCCCGGCAGAACTTTGACTTTAAGTTTGAAATGTAAAATGTTAACGGACGATGGACGACGACGGCAAAGACGGATAGCAATGGGTCACTTGAGCTAAAGCTCAGGTGACCTAAAAATAAATACTGTAGGACTCAGGTGACCGTAATTTGTTTGTTTGATTTTGTTTAACGTCCTATTAACAGCTAAGGTCATTTAAGGACGGCCTCCCCTGTGTGCAAGATGCATGCGTGTAGTGTATGTGTGTGTATTTTGGGAGGCTGCGATATGTTCGTGTTTGTCTCCTTGTGATAGCGCGGAACTGATGCCGACTTTATAGTGCTACCCCACTGAAACATACTGCCGAAGACACCCAGCAGGACGCCCCACCCGGTCACATTATACTGACAACGGGCGAACCAGTCGTCCCACTCCTAACTTGCTGAGCGTTAAGCAGGAGTAGAAACTACCATTGTTAAAGACTTTGGTATGTCTCGGCCAGGGGACAGAACCCAAAGCCTTCCTCACAGGGGCGAACGCTCAACAAACGGCCAAAAGTGAGGCATTGTCAAGGGAGACATTAGGAAGAAGGAAGTTATTTAGAAAGGAGAGAAGAGATAAGGTCCCAAATTTAGTCGCCTCTTACAATCATGCAATTGGGGGCAGCAAGTACAATTCTTACGCCCTACCTGCAGGGCAGAGGTGACCGTAAGGCCCATGGGCCTCTTGTTAAAGAGTAACTGTAGTCCAAATAGTAACCGATAATAAAACATTCCTTATGTTTTTATAATGATGTTGCCGAAAACCGCATCGAAATCGGTGGACCGGTTACCAAGTAACGACAGGTAGAAGTTGAGCTTTTTACCTGCGTTTCCATATGCTCATCAAGCGTACCGCGCGCCGCTAAAAGTTGTGCACACGTATCGGTGACGTCACAACGGGAACACAAGAAAACCGGCATCATGGCGAATAATGTTACCTACGTATCAACCTCAGAAAGCGACGAAGAATCTGTTGATTTATACATGTCTGACGGCTCATCTAACTTTGAGATGGACGGGGCAACCTATGACGGAGTAACACAGCCTTACATGTTCGAACCAGAGACGGATGACGACCCGAACGAGGAAACTTCAGTGGCCGACCATGAGCCCGAGATCCAAGCCATACGACTTGGAAGCAACGATTGGTAAGTTTATTTTGACGCAAATTAGGTTGATTATTAGACCATTTTTTGACTACAAGAAATATTAGCCTACCAGCATTTCTTCGCTAAGTAACGTGTATAGAAAATTCAGTTGTCACCTTACACAAAAATGTAGATTTGGCGCAATACAACTAGAAGCTATGGACGGATACCGGTTTTCTAGGTCCTTACAGCTATCGCTCAAATGGCAGTGTAAAGTACCTTGATTAAAAAGTATATGTCTACAAGTTAAAAGAAAACTTATTACGGTTTTCAGGTGTAGATGCGGACACTGTCCTGCAATGTCTACCGAAGTGGAAGTATTTGTTGCAAAGAAGTCGACCAGGTCCAAGTCATGGTGGATGCCATTCCAGGTGACCTATCATGCATCACTCTCCATCCTGGATTTGATGCTGTCTGTTTGAAAATTTATGTTCTACAGACAGTATACCTGACATTTCGTCAGTACCATGGTCAATTGACAGACGATGAAAACAAGTAAGTAAACATACATTTTATTTAATCATTATTATTTAATTTGTTTTTCAATGTTTCACAATCTAACTGAATGTATGCACAGAATAACAAAACACTGCATTGTGAAAGATGACTAAAACCCAAGAATATATGAAATTTTCTGCAATTTTGCAACAGTCTATCCACTTTATTCAAAGTAGTTCTTACCAGTCTGTTTTGAAAATGAAGTATTGGAAGATTTACATATATGCCATCTTTTTTATGCAAGATAATGATTTTTTTTCCAGGAGAAATCAATATATTGCCTATCGTCAATTTGTGAGATGGTGCTGGGGTTGGCTTGGTCGACATGTTCGTGTACGACTCCCAGCATCTGCTGTACAATGACTTTAAATTTGATTGAGAAAACAATGGAACACTTTCTTATTTGTATGCTTATTTATGATTAAATTAGCTACTGTGTTTTTTTATGTCAGTTTGATATTTATGTAGACATTTTGTTCCCATTACTACACGAATATCATATAAAACCAACATATAGTCTCTTTATTATTTACAAACACATCACAATTATTACAAGAGATCCCAGAGGGATCTTGGCGCCCACCTTTGTACCATCTTCATTAGTTCTTTGTCAGTTCGATCTTTTCTCTTCTTTCCTCTAATCTGTTTGATCGAGTCATGTTAACAGTAAATGCACCTTGAGGTAACTTTTGATCTAAACTTAATACTGATGTGTATGAAAGCCAACCTTCAAAGTGAGTTTGTCATTTCACATATTTACTAGTACAGTACTTAATGTGAAAGAAATAGAATCGATCATTGCAATATGAGAAAGATCTGTTTAGTTCTTCTTTTAATCCATTGTGTTTTTATGATCAGTCTCAAAATATAACATACACAACGAGGGACCAAGGGGAACCTACATTTAAAATTTGAGAAAGATCCCTCCCGTACTTCCAGAGAAATAGCGATAACAAACTTTCAATATCAAAGATGGCTGCCTTTCGGCCATGTTGTTTGTCTGATCAGTCTCAAAAGTTGCCCAGCACAGCTAAGGACCAAGGGGAACATACATATAAAATTGGAGAAAGATCCCTCTGATACTTCTTGAGAAATAGCGATAACAAACTTTCAATATCAAAGATGGCTGCCTTTCGGCCATGTTGTTTGTCTGATCAGTCTCAAAAGTTGCCCAGCACAGCTAAGGACCAAGGGGAACATACATATAAAATTGGAGAAAGATCCCTCTGATACTTCTTGAGAAATAGCTATAACAAACTTTCAATATCAAAATCCAAGATGGCTGCCTGTCGGCCATGTGGTTTATCCCATCAGTCTCAAAAGTTGCCCTGCACAGCTAAGGACCAAGAGGAACCTACATATAAAATTTGAGAAAGATCCCTCTTGTACTTCTTGAGAAATAGGGATAACAAACTTTCACTATCAAAATCAAAGATGGCTGCCTGTCGGCCATGTTGGTTATCTGATCAGTCTCAAAAGTTCCCCTGTACAGCTAAGGACCAAGGGGAACCTACACATAAAATTTGAGAAAGATCCCTCTAATACTTCCCAAGAAATAGCGATAACAAACTTTCACTATCAAAATCCAAGATGGCTGCCTGTGGGCCATGTTGTTTATCCCATCAGTCTCAAAAATTGCCCTGCACAGCTAAGGAGCAAGGGGAACCTTCATATAAAATTTGAGAAAGATTCCTCTAGTACTTCTTGAGAAATAGCGATAACACACTTTCACTATCAAAATCCAAGATGGCTGCCTGTCGGCCATGTGGTTTATCCGATCAGTCTCAAAAGTTGCCCTGCACAGCTAAGGACCAAGGGGAACCTGCATATAAAATTTGAGAAAGATCCCTCTGGTACTTCTTGAGAAATAGCGATAACAAAGAATTGTTTACGGACGGACGACGGACAACGGACCATGGACGCAGGGTGATTTGAATAGCCCACCATCAGATGATGGTGGGCTAAAAATGTAAAAGGCCAGGCCCCGGTTGCTCAAATGTTATTAGAGATGTAAGTGGTGGTTATAACTAATCCTCCCAACACATCATTTATTTTTCTCAAAAAATCAAGTAAAATGATTAAAATGATCTCTGGTGTTCTTGATTTTGTTGTATTCAGGTTATAGTTTTCCCTAACTGATAAAAAGTATCTTTAAACAACTGGGGCCAGCACTTTGAATAGTCCAACATGTGTAGTCTCCATATCTCCATGCATGATTCATAATCCAAGACACCGAAGTCTCAACTGTAGGCTAGTGCCTAAACCTGGACATCAGTCCAGAAACAGCTTCGGACTTCTCTGGGTGAACAAAGTTCATACATAGTGGTGGTGGCGATTCTCCAACAACCTCGCAATTGGGAATCTGTAAAAGTTTCACCCGTTCCTTCGTTGCTTTCATCAGATCTGTAACATAATCTGAAACATGACAAGAAAGAGATATTATACCTTTTAAATGATTGCTCTTTTACTAGTTTTAATATGCTATCAAAATGCACAAGATGATAAATTATTGAAAATATGGGAACACAGAAATTTGTAGTTGCCACATAGTAACATATATATAAAACACTCGTTCTCAAAGCAGCAAAAAAAATAACCAACCAACCATCAACTTCACATGCCAGCAAAAACAAAATCTGGCATATTCTGTCATTGGCAGTTTGAAACCATTGAATTATTTTCTAAAGTAAAATTACGAATGAAATTGAATAATTATATAACTTACTGAAGGTGCACTCTGTTCTCACTTGTCGAACTGTGTAGTCACCATTCTTTTGCTTGGGGAATGTGATTCTGTTTCTCTTTTCACCATTTTGAAGTGACGCCTGTTCTCTCGAAACATTCTCATTGAAGTGCAGTGCAGCCAGCAACAATCTGCAGAAGGTAAAAGAGCAAGCTATATCAGAAGGGAAAAAAACCTACACTTGACAACGAATATCTTACTGACAGTGTCATCAAACATAGTTGAAATAGTGAATAGAAGAAAATATAACTGTTAGCCTAAATCTAAATTAAATTACTGGGGGGGAAATAGACTACTCACCACATTTTATTAAAATTAAAACTATACATTTATAAATTTTATATTATAGACATATATATTGGCAATATTTACATTGGTTTGAGAATAATTGAGAATTTGCACTACATGTGCATGTAGTGTATGGTGATTTACCTTTATCCTTTCCTTTAGATCTTGTTTGTGTGTAGTGGGATCTTTGTGATGGCCGACTTAAACTCTTCTGTGAAGCTACAGACTTAGTTTTAGGCTCCTCTGAGACAACATTTACCTGAAAAAGGAAACATGATATATATCAATTATGAAACATCATGGCCATTGATCATACAAGGTACATTGATAAAATAAATATTTTCAATCTTCAAGAGCTAGTTTTTATTTTATACAGTTAGAGATCAGGATATAATTCTTTTGTATGTTTATTATTGTTGTTTATGTTCCAAAAAAATATTACTATTTTATTTTGCAAGGTTCATGTTGTGTCAGGGTGGTTATTATGCACATCAGACTAACAGAGCCGTCAAGTTTTTATAAGGACCTCCAGATTATTTCTAGTGAGACTCGCAACCTCCCATGGCAGGGTAAATAAAGTTAGTGCATTTATCCATGTCTGGTCAAAAGTCATTGATCCCTTGCGGGTTTATGTGTTCTTACCATTGACTAGGTTAGATAATATTAACATAGAATAAAAATGTCAATATTATTAAAAAAAATCAGGCTGGTTTTGTTGTGGCCAATCATTGCGTGTCATCAATTTACACAAAGATAAAATAATACCTTACCTCCATACTTGAGCTTAGGTCATCTTCAATATGTGTCGGTGCCTGTGGTCATGAAGCATTTTCTGGCTCACGTTCTTCATACTCTCTGATCAACTGCAATTTGTAAATAAGCATGATATAGAGATGTCCCCTTAATATCAATATTTTGTAATGCAATTCATTTAGGAAATTTCTGTTTTATAATAGTTTGTTAAGATTGACATATTACTAAGATATTGAGATTTAAAGCTATTACCTTTACAAATTCACACAAGGCCCTGAACAGTGTCACATTAATTTTAACCAAAAAAGTCGAAATAGGATTTCCGTCGAAACAGGTTACACGTATAGAAATCATTGGTCATCAGTACAAGATTACAGATAATATATTTATATAGGAAACACATATAAACACTCACACGTTGGATGCCGACCTAGGCCTTTTCACAGTCTTCGGTGTTGTCAAATCAGTCTCGGGGCTTGAGGATTGTTTCCTACGAGGTGTCGGCATGGTCGGTGTCGTTGCAGTATTGAAAATAGTAGGGACGGCATATTCTTCTAGTGTCCTCTTCACAGTCTATCCACTTGATTCCAACAGTCCTAACCGGAATTTCAGTGGAAAACAATCTTCCTCGAAGTGGGCATTGCACAACACTGTGTGACGAGTCGGCTCCCAATCTTTGCGTTTTCTTCTCACAAAAGCAACCCATTGTCGGTGAATATCAGGTCTCTATGCATGGAAACTCCATTGATAGTAGTATTGGAGCATCCTCCTGCAACACAACGTCGACCACAGCGAGATACAGGCGTGTTTTCTTTGTAAATCACGGACATGACGAAGATGTTTTGATAGTGTTTCGTAATGGCTACCCGAGCTTACCTGTGTTTGGGTCACCGCTGCTACGTCACTTCCGGTCGTAGGTCAAAATCGGGGATTTTCAGATTTGCGCTCAGGTGTGAAATCTAGTAAAAAGGTTACAACTTCGGTATTTTTGCAAAAACATTTTTTTTTTGCTTTTTTGGGGTGTTTTATTTATCAATCTTTCTTTACTAAAAAAACTATTGCAGCACTACAGTTACTCTTTAATGTTAATAATCAATATCAGAGGAATTATGTTAAAATATTACATACCGTGCAGATAAAATTGAAAATATTTCAGATCTCAGATTCTCAGCAGTCGTCTCTACTGCTACCTCCTCAGCAGCCGCCTCTACCATCACCGCCTCCTTAGCAACCATATCAGCCTCCACCTTCTCACAAACCATTATCGCCTCCACCACTTCTACGAAAACTGCTACCTCCTCGAAAACTGACGTCTTCTCCTCAGACATTACCTCATCTCAAACTGCTACAGTGTTACTTTAGTAACGGGCAGTTTACCAACATGGTTTTGGGTTTTATGCTTTAAGTTTCTAACCATAAATTCAACTTAAGCTTGATAACATATACACTCTTATGATATTTAATTTAATACAATTTTAAATTAAAATTTTCAGTTTTTATGAAAAAAATAATATATTAATAACAAGTTAGAAACTTTGTTTTAGGGCTGTTCCAGAAAAAAAGACATCCCCCCCTGGGCCGGCACTTTTTCCAGACCCCTACCACCCATAACTTCAATAATCAGCTGACCCCTACCACCCGTAATTACGAATTTTGTTCCATACCAACGACCCACAATTGTTTATTAGTTTTTTAAAAAAAGGAAAAAAAAGTAGTACCCACATACCATGTTATTTAGTTTATTTAAACCCATATACTATTAAATTAAATAATTACCGTTGTTTTACTATCATTTGATATAAATAAACTAAAATTTAGTTTAATATATATATATGTGTTGTATTCTTTTTGTGCTTTTGCTATATATTATATACATAGAGAATGCAAATGGTTCTGTCAAGTGTCAGCAGAGTTGTACTATACATTTAATATTTCATTACATACCAACAATGAAAAGGTCCATTTGTATTCAAAGTGTGCTTTTTGCTTCATACTTACTTCCATTAGTTTTACCAATACCTATATGCATATACATATGTAATCTAAATTGTCTGCAATGGGTTTTCTTTTGGTAGTGGCTATATAGAGTTTAGAGTTTCATACTTTTGACCTTTTAATTAAGTACCATTGACGAGTCATAAATGGACGAAATGATCCAATATGGTGTCAGAAGCAGATTTCACTTGTTTTGACTTTCTGCATTAATTAACTAAAATTTTATTATAGGTGGATCATGACTTTGCATTTCTTGTGAAAATCTACATGTTCATTGCCTGTCCGCATGTTGTTATAGTTACTTTATTTGACCTTTTAAGAGTACATCTATTACCTGTAAATGTGAACTGCCAGACATGTACACACTACACAGCAATTATAATTTTGAAGGAGCAACTCCTTGTTTGGACAGTGATGCAGGAAATCTGTCACAAAACGTTGTGAGCTATGGAGTATGGACGACTCAATTTTTCATGAGAAATAAAACTGACCTGGGTGGAACTATCGGATCACATTTCTGTATAACGTATGTATAATGTGGCATCTCTATATGAAATTACAACAAGTATACAATAATTGCTTCAGAGTGGTGATATCCATTCGTATTTTTCCTAAAAGGAAAAAACAACAACTTTCTTTCTCTTAAATTTTAATATTCAAGAAGGAACGAATACCGTAATCTTCCAATGCTCTGCCTTGGACACATTTCAGATTATCATCCACAAGTTCACCAGTTTCCCTTTTAATATTACACTAGAAATAATCCTCCAATGATCGACCTAAGACACGTTTCAGATTTACCTGATTATATCATCCACAAGTTAATAATCCTCAAACGATCGACCTTAAGACACATTTCAGTTAATCATCCGCAAGTTTCATCAGTTCCCCTTTCAATGTTACACTAGAATGTACCTTTACACCCATTTTGGTCAACACATTCTTCAGTTGCGCAACAGATAAACGTGAGATAGGATTGTCTTTGAAAGATTCCAGTAGGTTTTTATAATTTTCTTTTTGTTTTAACTCTTTCCGTACCGTTGTCGTGTACACACGACAACAATATGTCATCCTGGTCCCCGTTGTCGTGTACAGACGACAAAATAAAGGGCCGTCTCATCCCCGTTGTCGTGTACACACGACAAGAGACTTTGATGTAACGTGCCTGATGTTTAGTTGGTTATCGCACGAGACTGTCTCTAAAATCAGAACCCATCAGTTTGGAAGAAATACTTTTATTTGTACAGAGTACCCTTTTTTATTATGTGACTTAAAGTTTTCGCATTTGCCGCAAGATGATTGTGTTTGGTGCCTCACATGTAAACAAGATGGCGGCAACTTAATTCGATACGAACACTCGTAAATTCATCATCAGATATTTGTTGAGACTTATGGAAGTAAATTTGAATATTCTAATATAAGTCTTGATGAAATCTTCTTGTATTTAGAAAAAAATTCAACGACTCCACATTCGTAACCATAATTAATCCCCACTTCAAACTGGCACTACAACGCTGTGTTAAATACAAGGAATCGTATCGTTTATTGCCAGACAAATGTCGATTTCTCGGTCATTATTAGCTGCCAGTTAGTCATTATGCTGCGAAAATGAATAAGTGTTTGTCTATGAACCAGAACATGAAACAATAACAATATTTGTTCACGGTTACCTGTTTAATTCTTGTGGCAGCTACACCTAGTCTAAAAAGAACATTAATAATCGGCCATTTTGTTATATGCGCGGGGTCGAGTCTAAAAAGAAGATCTGGTACGGAATTCGGACCGGAGTTGCGGTACGGAAAGAGTTAAGCGCTGTTCACATGTCTCTACTTAGTTTAAAAACTCATCCTTTGAGACACCAATGAGGTTGCAGATGTCGGACAACTGAGAAGAATCGAAAATGTCCTTTTCGTTCTCCAGTAATAATTTAATGTTTCTTGACGGTAGGTAAAAGCCTGGTGATTTTAAACAGTGGGGCAGTTCTTCATCGTTTTCTTAGAAGAAACTCACAAGTTTTTCCACTTGTACGTAAGGAAGATAATGATACTCGGGCAATCGTCCAACATCCAGAATAGTTTGAATTTCGAACCTTCGAACTTGTGCGTCACCACGCCAATCCTCGTCCGGTCTGTAGACAGTAAATCCGTACTTTTGTTGCCAAGAATGGTTTGGTTCATAAATTTGGTTAAACAGTCTCGAGGCAGAGATAACTTTAAACTCATCCAACCCATAAAGTGTACATAGCTTCTCCCATATTGGTCCGCGAGGTCGAAGTACAAAGTTGTTCTCATTTCTGAATTCATTAGTGTCTCTCGACAAAAAAGAACGGATGTGACCATCACAATCTAAAGGAAATACCCATTCGTCGACAGAAGGACCACGGTATGATTGTAAATGACCACCAGCAAAAGAAGTGCCTTTTATGCGTTGAACAGCTAAAGATGCCGCAGCCTCCATATTTTCCTTCATTTTACCAAGATCTTTAAATCCATATTCATCAGTTTCATCAGAGTGAATATTATACGAAGATATCACGCCGTTTTGACTTAAAGCTCTGTTTTCTGCAAGATGAACTCTTTCTACACTGTGCAACTTTGAATCGCCTTCGGCAAAAGAAATTGTCTTCACTTTGTCCATGTCAAGAAGCCATCGAAGGATTCCCGTGTTAAAATGTGTTTGTTTATTCCTGGGGCGTTCGTCTCCACCTCCATCAACCGTTATTAGTAACTGCGACACAAACTCTCCATCTCTCATAAAATGGTACTTAAATTCCTCAAGACTTAAAACAAACAGTAGTTCGTTCATGTGCCTGAAGCACGATTCTTGTTCAAATAAAGATGACTTGATGATGCTTAGTCCAGGTCCAGTTACTCTCGTTTTTACCATCGGTATTCCGTCGAGTTCACAAAGCACATTTTCCTCTTTACTGAGATCTGTCATACTAACAAGTTGATAAGTTGTAGGTACAAGAGTTCTATCACTGTTTTTTTGCCAATCATGATCACTGTACCGAACTTTGACCCAGGACTTTGAAGGCCGCTGGATGACCTCTACATCGCAGTGGACCTTTGCTTTATTATCGCGGGCAATGGTGGACATACACTGAAGATCAAAGTACGATAAAAAGTACTGAACGTCTGCTGTTGCAAAGTGGGAATTTATCGAAACATGTACATTTGCATCCCTTGTCGACTTGTGTAATGAAATGTCTACAATTTGACTATGGGTGTGTCTCTTTGCTTGATGTGTACGTTCCTTATAACTTTTTCTATACGTATAGGCAGTCGAAACGCTAATTGGAATGTCATACAGTTGCTGCAATACTGATACAGCTTTTGGAATGTCCATTCACGAGTTTTCTTTGAACAAGGTGTCGCATATTAGACGTGGATGGGACCTCAGCTCGCTGCATCTCTCGAATAACCCTAGTAGTATACACGTTAAGTTTGGATACTTGACACAAAATTCAGGTCTTCCTGATCCTGGGATTCTAAACGAGTCCAGCTCCTCGTTTCTTGTCATCTTTGAAGTATTCACTGTCACTTTTTCTTTGGCATGTTTTAAGCTTTTCTTATCAAACTTCACTCCAAAATGTCCACCGGACACATAGTTAACAGATGTTAGCTTCACTAGTAGAGATTTAAGCATTTCCTTGTCTCTTGTCGAAGAAGCATATTTCAGATATTCAGACCATCTTTGCCGGTACTATCCTCACTGTCCGATGACTCGGAATCACCATCTTTGCCGGTACTATCCTCACTGTCCGATGACTCGGAATCACCATCTTTGCCGGTACTATCCTCGCTGTCCGATGACTCCGAATCACCATCTTTGCCGGTACTATTCTCGCGGTCCGATGATTTGGGATCACCATCTTTGCCGGTAAGATTTTCATTGTCGGCAGAGGTATACATGTATGCAGATTCATTTTCAGGCCAATAATGGTCATTACTTGAAAAATCTGTTTCGGAACCACTCGTTTCCATAATATCAGAATCGTTGACTTTCCTCTTTTTTGAGGCGCTCGCAGAAAAAACTTCCGCTATCGGCGTTCTTCACCTTTTTTTCTCAGTCTCTGAAAGTTCTGCTTCACTTATTTCCATAATATCTGAATCGTCAACTTTTTTCTTTAATGCTCTTGCAGAAAGAAATTTCGGCTTTCTTCCTCTTTTTTTCTTTTCAGGACCCTGTTTGGACACTTTGTCAATGTATGTAGCCCAATTCTTTGTAACTTTCTGAAGTTGTAGTTCTCGTATTGTTTTCATTTTCTGTTATTTTCAACTTCCTTTCTCTTGGAGTCTTTGTCAGTTTTGATATGGTTCCTCTTTTTATTCTTTCTGATATCTCACTCTCTGTGTTCGAGATTTGTTTTGCTAATTTACCAATTTCATCTTTCAATTCAGTACACTGGTTTCGGTATTTTGTAAAAAGTCCCAGTGTATTATATTTGGAGGTGGTCAGATCACTTATTTTATCCAGCGCCTTCTCCTTGCCGTCCAGGTTCCAGTGCATCTTTACAAGACCTAAAAAGAGAATGAAATGTAGATGAAAGTACATGGCATTATTTACATTGTAATAGAAGAAACAGAAAGTTTTACAAAAAGGCAACAGTAGTATCGCACATGGTAAATTACATGTCCTTCATCAGACAGGTATTCAAACAAGCGGCCCAGGGTTTAGTAGTCGAATATAAATATTGATTCTACTCCAAAACTAGTCCAGTTTGAATGTTTGTCAGATTAAAACTAGATTGACCTCCTGGAATCATGCGCACTTGACCTCCACCTCGGTGCCAAGTTTGGTTAATAATTAAAGGCCTCATAATACGCCCTTTCGTATTAACAAATTGTTGACCTGTGACCATAACGTCAAGTGACATGACTTCCTGTCAAACCAACTTTGCTTCATAATGTTATAGGAAAATATTGGCCAGAAGCAATATTTAAAATTCTATTTTGTCCGAGCTATGGTCAAGACAAATATGTGTAGTAAGTTTTAACAAAATCTGCTAAAAAATATAGCTTTTAGAGTGATGACAAAAAATACCCATTATTTGTTATATTTTTAGTAAGAGTGACCTGTGACCTTGACCTTTGGCCGATAACGTCTATCTACCGAGCTATGACCAAGGCGAACATGCATGTGAAGTTTGATCAAAATCTGATAATAAATATGGCTGCTAGAAAGATGACAAGCAATTGTTCACAGACGGACGGACATCGTCATACTAAAATACAACCTGTCAAAGACGGACACATAAATAACCCTTCTACAGTTATTTCTTTTGAATATAAATAAAATAATGAAACGTAGGGAATATATAATATTATTTGTCATGCTCAAAATACCATGTTCAGAATTAAAAAGTGTATTAAATAAAGTACCCATACTAACGTCTGGTATCTCAATTTACCTTCAATATTCTGCCTTCGAGTGCTCCTGATCAAAAGACGAAGACTCTCTTCATTCCAAAACTTGAACCACTCCGCTTGCAAGGGTGCTTGTCCTGCTATGGTGTCAGCCTCATATACTTTCATTTTCCTTTCTCTCAATGGCTGGTACCTATATGGATTCAAATGGCGACAGGTTTTCATTTATGTTTACACTTTACATTTTAATATATCCAAAACTTTTTAGACCCTTAAATATAGAAGCTATCAATTATATAAAATGAATAGAAGTTAAATCTAGAATTTTGCGATACGGAATTGTTCAATATATTGCAAAGTTCAAGTCCTAAAAGGGGTAAAAGTTTATAAATCAATTTCATCTACAGTGACCTTGACTTTCAATTTAAAACAATCAGCAATCAAGTAGCTTTTAAATCTAGGTTTGGGCCTGGTTGATGCGAAAGGATAAAATGACCTTTCAAATTTTATTTTTTCAATACCTTTTGTAGTTGCTGCACACAATACATTCATCTTTCTACTATTAAAACAGTTCTCCATACACACCTATCTATCAGTCGTTCATGAAGACTGTCGCCAGATCTCTTTCTGAAACTCAAGATAGTCTGTTGTATGTAAGTAGTTGGTGCTGACGATGTTGGCCTCGGAGTCGTATGGGTCGAGGTTGCTGCTAATGATGTTGGCCGAGGGGTCGAGGTTGCTGCTAATGATGTTGACCGAGGAGTCTGGGGGGGGGGGGGGGAAGTTGCTGCTAATGATGTTGGCCGAGGGGTCGAGGGTGCTTCTAATGATGTTGACCGAGGAGTCTGGGGGGGGGGGGGGGAAGTTGCTGCTAATGATGTTGGCCGAGGGGTCGAGGGTGCTTCTAATGATGTTGACCGTGGGGTCAAGGTTGCTGCTAATGATGTTGGCCGAGGGGTCGAGGGTGCTTCTAATGATGTTGACCGAGGAGTCTGGGGGGGGGGGGGGGAGGTTGCTGCTATTGGTGTTGACTGAGGAGTCCGAGGGGGGGGGGGGGGGAAGTTGCTGCTAATGATCTTGACCGAGGGGTCAAGGTTGCTGCTAATGATCCATCCTCGCTCTGGCTCTCTTGTGATTTCACCTGAACTCCCAAATAAATTAAAATTAAAAGTGCAATTATTTGAGTGGAGAACAGACAAGAGCTGTTGGAGAACAGCGTAGCTCGCCCCCTCCCCTGCTTTCAGAAAAGACAGCAAATTTAACCAAGTCCATATCTAGGCCTTTTTTATCCTTTCTATTACCTGCACCAAAGGTTTAACAACATGGATGATCCATTTAGGCCCATTGGCCCCCTGCAATCCATAAACTCCAGTACATGTCCCTTAAATAATTGTCTACCCACTTCACAACAGTTGAAACTCAACAACAATGCAGGTTTTATTGTTAATTAAAAGGTATTACAGTATTTCAACACTATTTTACAAGACTAACGATATTTACTGTAAACAGCATTACCTCCTTCAAAATTGCTCGAAATTTTGCCCTTTTTCCAACAATAGGAATGAGGCTATTGACCTATTCACTCGCAAGGAAATGGATACCCTCTCCATCGATTTCTGCATCTGTGAAATAGATAAGAAATTTATATTTTTTCTGCCTAGAGTACCGTCACATAGCCTTAAGCTGTGGTAAATGTTATCAAACTACGTTAAAAACTTCAATTAAAGATTTGTACGTATACTAGTACTACAATATTAAATAGCAGATACATAGTACACTACGTCTACAGGCATGCGGGATATACCCTAAATACACATGATATCGGTACACTCATTTTGTATGGATAACAATTCCTGACGATTAATAGTTTGAGGCCAAAAAAGCCTCCACTTGTGACCTTGACCTGCATTTACTGGATTTTAATACAAACAGTGGAAACAAAATATTTCAAAATTCAATAAATTATTTATGTGACCTACATGTATACAGTAAGGACCTTTATCTTTGATCATGCAACTCCTTGTTGGATCTCCAATAACTTTGCTTTATAATTATATAACATATGAGAATAAATATGACTGCTAGAGCGATGACATAAGGATTGAACTTATCGTGGCACTGCAGCGCAAATGTAAATGTAAGCAAATGTTAACGGCTGGCCGGACGGACAGCCTGTCCGAGTCGTCAGCCGTATAAAAACTTAACAGGATGGACAAAATCAGTGCAAAGGGTGTTGTGGGCGAGTAGGAATTCAAAGCAAGAGTAAGAATTGGGCATGCATTTGTCCGTTAATGACCGGAAATACAGTGTGAAGTGTGAAATGCAACTTGCAAGGCAAAAAAAAGTTTGTTTCAGGTAACATGGACAGAAAAAAATAGGGCAGGTCGGTCAATGAAACTTATTTAAAAATTTAAAAAATGTTGTTTCTGAAATATTGTGATTTACATAAATTAATAATGTTCATTATCCTGCAGTCTTTTTTGTCTATTCTCTGTTTATGTGTAATTAAGCTTTGTTGCCCTGTCAAGTCATTTGTAATTGACATCTTAGGTGCATTTAATTTTTTCTTTTGAATATGGCATTAAAAATGTTATAATCTGCTATTGGGTCAATTAAATTGGGTTACCTGAAACACACATTTTTTTGGCATAAAGCTACTGTTTTGTGATTAGTGTATAAAGCACTCACGTTCAATTTTTACTTATTAATACAGATACAGATAGAAGCTTTATTTTAAGCTGAATATTATAAACATACAACATAAGCTACAAAGAGCTTGTATTTCAACAAAAAAAATAATGACATTTAACAGACTGTTCATTAATATAGAGGAAGAGATAATTACATAGGTCAGAGAGGAAGAGATAATTACATAGGTCAGAGAGAAAAACAGAAAGCGATGGGGTAGAAAAGATTACCGTAGAAAATAGCAACACAGATTTTACTGTACAATGAAAATTAAATCACACAAGCAAGGAAAATCATGCAGTATTAAATTCACTTTTATTCCACACAATATAGGTACTAGTAAATGTCAGTCCCACACCAAGTTTTACCTGTTTCTTGACCGGGGGCCTACAAAACAAATCACCAAAAATAACGACCTATGAATAATTGTACAATCTCAAAGCGTAAAATATCAAATTATAAAGAAGTTATTGTGGTGGCTAGAAAAAAGACCCAACAGAACTTCAGAAGCAGTTTATTTATTTGGAAGAAGGATCAACAAGTCACAACCAGGTTGGGCATTTCCCTGGAAAGTCGAGACTTTGCGAGAGGTCTTTGTATTTTTCGGTTGAATGCAACTTGATTTGTACTTTCAGTTTCCTATATCATGATATGAAAAATCTGAATTTAAGATTTCACTTTCGTTATTGAAAAATCGATATCTAGTATTGGTTATTGCAAACAACTTTTGGTTGAACAGTTTTCGTTTATCGTCATATTTCATGACTTTTTATCGTCTGAAAATTGGAGATGGTATCGACTTTCCGAGGAAATGCCCAGTCTGACCACGTGTGAAGTGACAGCGTTTTAATGTAAACAGATCGATCAAGTAATGGCGGGTCATGTTATCGTTCAACATAATTTATGAAAGAACATAGTATTATAATCTGTCAGCATCACATTAATAATGTTCTTACCGATAAACGAGGCGGAAAATTGGCCTAAACCATGCCTCGCCATCCATCTTCCCACATCTTCCGGGCTCCAACCACGCGAATGGGCAGCCATTTTTGTGAAGTGATAACAGCGCCCTCTATCAAGATTGATTTTTTTTATCATAGAAGTTGCGTCCCTTGACCCACATACCGGAAGCGACTTGCAAGCGATACAGTAATGTCACGCTGCCAAAGTTTCAGCACGTATTTCAATAATGCAAATCTACATCCGAGCTTCAACCAGATATTTTCATATCACACCACCATGTAAATTAATTAATCAGGTTTTATTTATTTTTTAAATATTTTTTTTTTATTTCTCCAACGTACAACGACCCACAGAAACGAAAATACAACAACAACAACAACCAATAACTACGATTTTATTCAATGTTCAACCACCCACGTTAACAAAAAAAGTTTTCCGTCCCAGGGGGGGATGTCTTTTTTTCTGGAACAGCCCTTACTTGGTTAAACCTTTTTTTCTTATTTTAGCTACTATCATAGTCTTTCTCGGGATGATCAGCCTTTTCTTTGTGTGTAGGAGAAAAGAGAGGTAAATATATTCATTATTTTCGGATTTCATATTGGCTGTCATGATCTACTTTATGGAGAGTTTAAGACTGACCAATAGAGAACCTCTCAATAGAGAAGCTCCCAATAGAAGGCTAGTCAATAGACCTGAGAATGTAAGACGTCACAATTTAAGGATAAGGAGGCGCCTATACAATCTAAGACAGAGACATAAAGGTATAGATAAATGTTACAGAATAACTTGCAATAGCATAAATTTGAGATTTTTGAAAATATTGATCCTACTATATGTGTTTAAAATATTCTTTTTTCAAACTGTTAGAAGCAGTACATGATTTGGAAATGGGCACTATAGAGACGCCTCCAGCTAATATAGGAACCTCTGTAGAGGAGCAAGAAGAAATACGTGCTCAAGGGGGACAGCCTAGAGTAGAAGCGGTACAGCCTGGAGGGGAACTGTGGCGAACAGTTTCAATTGAAAGTTTGTTTGATTTCAACATTTACAGAAAACCTCATTCCAACTAAAAAGATATATATCTGCTTGTCAATTTTTTATTGAGTTTTGTTGTTTTTTTTGTTTTTTTTTGTTTTTTTTACAATTCAAAAAGTTATCTGTTTAGTCTTGACCATCTCCTAAAAAAGAATAAAACAGTAAACTGTACATATTTTTAAAAAAAAACAATTTATGTATGTTAAATATTTTTTCATGCATATTTTTAAGTAAAATTGTTGATATATTTTGGTGAAAATGTAAAACAAAATCATACCTGCTGATCATTTCATGCGCTGCGGTTTCATTTTTCGTTAGCTCCCCTTATAGTTCCAGAGGTGGCATTACATCACTGTCTAATGTGAAAAGAAGTATTATTGAAATATTTATTATGCATTTTAAATTTTGATGTTAATTTAGTAAAACTATTTATATTAAGAAGTAAAAGAGTTGAGATATATAGGAAATATAGTAACCTACTAGGCTTAAGGTTCACAATCTTTGTCATTCTCCTCATAGTGTCCTGATATGGTCTTCTTGCAGGTATTAGGTCTGTTTCACTATCAGAATCTATAGAAAAAATGTAAAATTAGTATTACTTTTATTAGAAAATGATTCATTATACATGTTGGATTTGGATTTAAATTTGAATGTTAATTTGATTGAACAACTTTAGATTTTCTTTCAAATTTAAGCAGTAAATAAGTTGATTTATATAAGAAATTGGAAGCTTGCCTGATGAGGATGGTTCGGATATGGCGAGTATGCTGTTTCTTGTTCTTTGAAATTTACTCTTCCTGGTTTTTATTGGTGTTGTAGTCCATATTAAATCTAAGTTTTGGTGTTTATTAGTATGTTAAATATTTTGTACTAGTCTAATAATCGAAATGATAAAAACATTTCTATGCTGATAACATTACATAAACTTACTCATTATTGAAAGTTTCCAATTTATAGAAGAAGTGAAATGATTAATTTTAAAATGTCTACTTACCCCTATTTCATGTTTATTGATAAAGTTGAAAATTTAAATGCTGGAGTCTAAGTTGTCTGACTTGCAATCAACCTTTCATGATATATACATTATGACTTTAGCTTTCATTTCTATTGTGAAATATTTTGATTTTGTAGATGTTTAAAATTTCAATTAAGATGTGAAATAAAAATTTCTTAATTTCATCGAGTCGTGTGATAATTCCTCCAAACTCTTCATAGGTATGAATTATGATGATTAGTACTATCATCAGCAAACTAGCTAGGTACATATTCATGATTCTTGTTCAGTGTATGATTGATCAAGTGAGTGTTCAATAAACCCTTTCAAATATATAGTTTCAAATGTTGCATAACTTTCAATGGTTGGGATAGACAACATTTAGATGTATTTTGAGTGTCAGAGGGATAAAATCATTAATGGGATAGACACCATTTCAAACTTAAAAGTAAAGTTCTGCTGGGCAGATTGAACTGAAATCGGCCAAGTAAAACTTTACTTTAAGTTTGAAATAGTTTTTCAAAATGGCGACCACGGCGGCCATATTGGATTTCTGATTGACCTGAAAAATAACAGCACTTTGTCAGGACCATGAGTCGATCATTCCTACCAACTTTCAGTTCAATCGGCGCAGCAGAACTTGACTTTAATTTTGAAATAGTTTTTCAAAATGGCGGCCGTGGCGGCCATATTGGATTTCTGATCGACCCGAAAAATAACAACACTTTGTCAGGACCATAAGTCGATCATTCCTACCAACTTTCAGTTCAATCGGCCCGGCAGAACTTGACTTTAAGTTTGAAATGTAAAATGTTAACGGACGACGGACGACGACGGCAAAGACGGATAGCAATGGGTCACTTGAGCTAAAGCTCAGGTGACCTAAAAATAAATACTGTAGGACTCAGGTGACCGTAAGGCCCATGGGCCTCTTGTTAAAGAGTAACTGTTCTCCTTCAGACAATCATTACGAAGACATGAATCAATCTGTGTAAACTGAGAAAACATTTACAAGTGTTCGGTGTAATATTTGATGGCAGATTAATTTAACAAATTCTCGTTTTCTAGCTCACCTGCCCGAAGGGTAAGCGAGCTTATGCCATGGTGTGGGTCCGTCGTCCGTGGGTGCGTCCGTCGTCAAGTTTTTATTTTAAATAACTTCTTTTCAGTAACCAAATAGACCTAGGATGATGATATTTGGCCAGAAGCATGCTGGAATCAAGGGCTACCAAGTTTGTTCAAATAAATGACCTTGACCCACTTTCAAGGTCAGAGGGGTCAAATTGGAAAATTGTAGTGCTTTGTGACCACTTTGGAAATGAGAAGAAGATCCTGAAGTCATCAGCTCTCCTAAATTTGACCAAAAATTTCTGCCAGCTGAATAGACACGAGCCAAGACTGTCATTAAGCAGGAGCGATACCCCAGAGACGGGATGGCTCAACTATGGCAATTGGTTCACCAACATCATGCAGAGACATTCCAAAATCTACTGAAGCTGGTCCAGATTGCAATTCTGATGCCGTACCAAACAGCAGACTGTGAGAGGGGGTTCAGTAACCAAAACAATACAATTACAACTTCTAGAAACCGCATGGAAGGGAAAACAGATTAATGCTCATCAATATTGAAGGACCACCATTGAGAGAGTTTGACTTTGGTCGTGCACTGTCCGTTTGGAAATCAAAGAAAGACAGACGTGTTTTCAAACATTAACTTGAAGACCGTTATTTGACCTTTGCAATACTTATCTGTCTGTGTCTGTTTCTTTATTCTAGTCTCAAAATCAACTGATATTTCATGAATGAAAATCATGAGATTAAGATTGAGATAATACTCAAGTTTTAGTGATCACAGGATTAGCCGACATACTGTGTTTCTATGATAATACTCAAGTTTTGCTGTAATATGAGCACTTGTAACTTAAGCTTGTTCATAATGTTGATTGTTCATAATTGAGATAATACTCAAGTTCTGTTAATTAAAACAAACCAGATTTAAAACAAACATTTTGGTTTCTTTTTTAAAACTAAATAAAACACTATCCTTAAAAAATGTAAAATCATAAAATTCAGATAAAAATATGACTTTTTATGAAAAATATTTCTTGTAGAACCAACATGAAATAATAAGCCCAAATGTCACCAGAGAGCACCTAAATTTCAAATTTGTTTCGGGGAGGATTTCCGAACCCCACTTTCTATCAGGAGGGGGGCCACCCCCTCACGAACTTCGCTCCTCAGGTGGCCCCCCAATTGTCAGAAAAGAGGGGGGACATGTACACAAATGTCATAAATCCTAAATGCAACCCTACTTTTTCGTAAGTCGATAACCATGTGCCTCCATGATTAGGAGGAAGTCAGAATATTATCCGACATAATCATTGTTTAATCAAAACAAGTCTTTTTGCTAAATGTGTTTGCATGGAACCTACATATGCATGGGCAAATGTGCTGGTAGTCACAGAGATAAAACCAGACATTTTAGTGAACATTACTCATATCATGTATTTCATTGCATGCGTTAAAAAAAATGAAAGTGACAAATACAACCAGACATTGCATTATAATTTGTAATCCAAATTCCTGAACAAAGAGTGGAAACAAAGTTACTTGTTGTTTAAATTGACAATGGATGTTCAGCATTCGAAGTGGTGGAGTAGGAGACACACAAAGACAAAATATTTTGGATATGTTGGTGTTGAATTTTTAACAAATTACTGAAATGCACGTTGTTAATGTAATAATAGAGAAAAATAAGTAATTGTATGGATATTGATATCATATTGGTAGAGTTAAACATCACATGAATTATTTCAGTTTGTGGAACAAACTTAGGGAGGAAGAGGCAAATATGACAGTGTGAAATAGGAAGATTTGAAGACAGTGTGTTATGTAATTATAAATGGTAATCGTGGGAACAGAATTAAATAGATGTCAGATGAAAGTGAAAGAACTGAAGACAGAGTGTTGAGAACAAGGAGTTATTGTGAAACAAAATATGAATGGTGGTGTGGTTGATGAAAGGACAGGAAGCTAACTGGTCGGTCATCTAAAGAGAAATGGAGATCTGGTCAATTAGTGATAATTGAAGGTACAGGCTGGAGCCCTAGGAACCTCTATTGACCACCTGATGGCTGTCCATCTACAGTTGACCAATAAAAATGTTAGTAAACTAATTTGCATATTTGACACTTCTTAGTTTTTAGTATAAGGGAGGGAGAAGGCAGACTGAGGTACAGAGAGGCAGGACAGAAGTACGGAGAGGCAGGACAGAGTCATAGTGGGAAGATGGAAAGTGAGCCAGATTAGATCAGGATTGAAAGTGACCTATGATAGAAGGTGCTAGCAATGGTATGCATAAGTAGGAACTGGAAGTTGGCAACAATAAAGAAATGAACTGGATACGGACTTGAGTACTAATTCCCCAGACCGACATCGGTCATAATTCTTTTGGATTTTATTCATACCAAACATTGTGTTTTGCAGTAACATGAACTTTCGAATTTGATTATTTTATGGATGCACTTTAACCGCTAACTTTCGAATGAACACTTCAATAAACGTTACGTTTCACCATTGGATTAAATTTACACTGGATTAACGAACTGTGATTTAAATTAAGCTGAGCTTTGATGCTGTCAGAACTGAACTGTCATACCAAAAAGTGACTGGATAACAATACATCAACTGACATTTAACATTATTCATTTGGATTATTTCATAGCATTTTGGATGGATTTCCGTAAAACAAGGTAACGTACGTTGTCAACATACATAGAGATATATATACAATTTACTAGGGATATGGATGGATTTTATCGTTGAAACCATTAGTATAGTATATACTAACAGATATGAATATATATATATATATATATATGTAACGTAGTAACAAGGCAAGGTAACGTATATAGGAGTAAGCAAAATATAGGGAATACGGGTGGATTTTAAATTGTTGATAACATATTTTTACCGGTGGTTTGGACACATCGTATATACCTATGATGTCTTAGTTCAACTTGTTTTCATATTATAGACTAATATAGGTTGAATATAAAATTATGTTTGAATGCTCAACCACAGATAACATGTCCATGACAGTTATCAAAAAAAGAATACGGATTGAAAGGGTAGTGAAAGACATGAATGAAGTACGGAGATAAGATATTCAGTAAGTTGTGAAACATGTACATGTACAAAGTATAGGTATATAGTCAATGTTATAATGTTTGATTATATTAGCATTAAATAGTAAGTTATTGTTTGTACGGTTTTCGAATCTATTTTCAATAAATTATTATAATATATAATTTCGTGAGGACACAAATTTTGATGAAGGAGGGGGTAGTGTAATGACTCGTAGAATACGGACAGTAATGATTTAATTTTTTGATAGTAGTACTGATATTTATTTGGTGAGCGCTAAATATAGAAGAGGCCAAGGTACGGCCGTGGATAAGTTAGGTAACTTCTAAAGTACTAGTCAAGGCTTAAAAAAAAAAAAATAATGTCCACGCGCACCTCATCACCACGTTGACCAATGGTCGCGTGAGCTAATTTTAGCACCTCTAAATACTGGGGTCATATATAATGAAAAGTGTGCAGTACAAACACGACGCCTCCTATACTAGGAGCGAGCGTTACAGAAAAAGTAATAGATATGCGATATCGTCTTGCTAATATTTTTTATAATCTGTTACCTTACAATATGTTCTTCTAATCTCTTCTTGGGTGTCAGAGAATGATTGAATATCTTAGGCACGTAATAAGAAAGCCTGAGCTTAATACCAGACTTGGACATTTTGACCGATGAATGTCTGGTGTGGGGCCAGAGCGCACTGCTGTATGCAAACTTTTTGGTATCTGGTGTTAGGACCAGATGAAACTCAGGCTTATAAAAAGATGAGCAGAGTCCTCGAAGGTTTTCCTGAAACAAGTTTAAGTCTGGTAAATCAAATCCTTAAATCACAAAAACTGCAAGCATAGGCCAAGTAGCAGCATGATGAAAGTAACAACCGGTTCAAGGGCGGATCTAGGCCCGGCGAGCCCCCCGGTTTGGAAAATTGATCTTTATATCTTATATATATATAAATAAATAGCGCTAATAAATGGCAATAATAATTTGTATCAGATTTGTTTGTTTGTTTGATTTTGTTTAACGTCCTATTAACAGCTAAGGTCATTTAAGGACGGCCTCCCCTGTGTGCAAGATGCATGCGTGTAGTGTATGTGTGTGTATTTTGGGAGGCCGCGATATGTTCGTGTTTGTCTCCTTGTGATAGCGCGGAACTGATGCCGACTTTGTAGTGCTACCTCACTGGAACAATCTGCCAAAGACACCCAGCAGGACGCCCGGCACCCGGTCACATTATACTGACAACGGGTGAACCAGTCGTCCCACTCCTAATTTGCTGAGCGTTAAGCAGGAGTAGAAACTACCATTTTTAAAGACTTTGGTATGTCTCGGCCAGGGGACAGATTTGTTTGTTTGATTTTGTTTAACGTCCTATTAACAGCTAAGGTCATTTAAGGACGGCCTCCCCTGTGTGCAAGATGCATGCGTGTAGTGTATGTGTGTGTATTTTGGGAGGCCGCGATATGTTCGTGTTTGTCTCCTTGTGATAGCGCGGAACTGATGCCGACTTTGTAGTGCTACCTCACTGGAACAATCTGCCAAAGACACCCAGCAGGACGCCCGGCACCCGGTCACATTATACTGACAACGGGCGAACCAGTCGTCCCACTCCTTATTTGCAGAGCGTTAAGCAGGAGTAGAAACTGCCATTTTTAAAGCCAGGGGACAGAACCCAAAGCCTTCCTCACAGGGGCGAACGCTCAACAAATGGCCAAAAGGGAGGCATTGTCAAGGGAGACATTAGGAAGAATAAAGTTATTTAGAAAGGAGAGAAGAGATAAAGTCCCAAATTTAGTCGCCTCAGGTAGGGCGTAAGAATTGTACCTGCTGCCCCCAATTGCATGATCGTAATTTGTATCAGAAAAATATTGATAATATAATTTATATTAAATATCTAAAGAATCCAAGTCGAGCGTGAGCATAAGCTCATATGGCCGTTTAGGGCCAGGTTAGCTAAACAAGAGGCCCAATGGGCCTGCATCGCTCACCTGGTATAAAACTCACACTTGTTACCTTTAAAGTGATATAAAGTAAAGCTACAGGCAAAATATCAGTATTTATGATTAAAATTCATTCAAAAGACCCTGTTAATTTATTTTTTTTGAACATTTCACCCCCTGTGATTGAAAGTCGAACAAAGTCATTATGTTGAACACATTGTATAGCCTTTCATCTCAGGATGCAACTTGCAAAGTATAAACATCCTGGACCCATGGTTATTCAGAAGAGGTTGCTTAAAGATTTAAACAAATTTGACCCCTGTGACCTTGAATATAAGTCAAAGTCATTCACTTTAACAAACATAGTAGTCATTGATCCAAGCATATGCCACTGACTAAATATCAACATCCTGAGCCTTTTGGTTATTCAGAACAAGTTGTTGAAATATTTTGAACATATTTGCTCCTTGTGACCTTGAATATGATTCAAGGTCATACATTTAAAAAAACTTGGTAGCCCTTGATCCTAGTATGCTACTGACTAAATATCATCACCCTGGGCATTTTGGTTATTCAGAAGATGTTTAAAGTTTTTAACATATTTGACCCTTGTGAACTTGAATATGGGTGAAGGTCATGCATTTGAACAAACTTTGTAGCTCTTCACCTCAGCATGTAACTGGCCAAAATATCATCACCCTGTGCATTTTAGTTATTCAGAAAAAGTTGTTGAATGTTTTTCACATATCTGACCCCTGTGACCTTGAATATAGATGAAGGTGATTTATTTGAACAAACTTTGTAGCCCTTTATCTCAACATGCTACTGGCCAAATATCATTACCCTGGGCATTTTGGTTATTCAGAAGAAGTTGTTTAAAGTTTTAAACATATTTGACCCCTGTGACCTTGAATATGGGTGACGGTCTTTCATTTAAACAAACTTTGTAGTCCTTCATTTCAGCATGCTACTGGCCCAATACCATTACCCTGGGCATTTTGGTTATTCAGGGTAATATACACCAATCTGAGGCCAGATTATTTGTTGATTTTATTATGGAAAAGTGCTGAAATGCACCCTCCGGCCATATACATAATCAAAAAGACGGCTTATAAGGGCCTCGGGCCGCCCGCAACGCCTGCGGCGGTGCACCTCGCTGCGCTCGGCAAACGCATTTAACGGGAGCGCGCTCTGCCCCCGCTCCCCCCCCCCCCCCCCTTTCAAAAAATCATGTTTCCGCCCCTGCGGTTTATCAGCGTTTAAATGGAACATTTCGTGGTATAAGTCGTGGCTGACCTAATATGTATGCAGGCCTTGCAACGCCTTCTGAAGGCTCGCCTGACAGCTGTGCAACGTTGATTGATTGATAGGAACCGTTCAACCTTTAAAACGACCGACGAGTCATAATGCTAAACATTCAGTGGAGACATTTCGTCCAACTGTGCAACTCTTGAATTTATGATCACACGTCGACTTTTGTATAAGGAAGGAGTGTAGAATCAGCCATGAGTTATTCATTACAAAAAACTGCATTAAATACAGCATTACCATCTTTGTTTCCTAAACCGTGACTGGGACGAATTGTCTTCGTGGATAAAATCAAACTAAAGCAATTTCGTCCATCACCAGGAAAAAACTCAATTTGGCTTGTCTTCTCGTTACTTGTTAGCTCACCTACTTCTTCTCAACCACTGATTGGAATTCAACTACATTTAACTGGAAGCATCCCTCGGTGGAGGGGATTCAAAATTGTTCAAATGGTGGGGCTGATGGGCGGGGTCAATTTAGCTATATTGCTTAAAGCGACTTCTCTGGAATTAAAAAGTGGAAATCAACCATATTGAACCGAACCTTTAGTTATTAACATAACAAACACCATTCAAGGTCTTCACACATAGAACTTCCGGTTTATTGCGCATGTCACATAACATGAATGATTCACGTTACATATACAATTGATAACGACTGTAGATATTATTAAGGTTATCAATAACATATAGTATACGAATACTACATTCTCTTCCCTTTTTCTAAACTTTGCGCTATCTTAATTATCAATACGAAAGTTTGTATCTGACCTTAACATTTATATGAAATTAACAAACATTAAGCTAATTGCTGAATTTAGAAACTTTAACCATATTTAAACTCTAATAAGATCAGATTAAACAAAATCTTATATCAGTCAAAAATGATTAACAATAGTTCCAATACTAGTAATTGTAGTTTGTACTTAGCTACAAATTATCAATGTTCATTATTTTTCCTGAAACAAAAATAGCAAAAGTTCATATAACACAATTTCCGAAACTGACTAGAATTCCTAAATTACTTGATTTAGAAGAATTATACTAAGTGTTATTACGAGTGTCCACAACATTCCTGGAAAAGTTCTACTTTCACAAAGCGTTTCGCTTCACGATCTAAGACATTTGGTAGTCTTTGAACTTAGCTGGTAATTGTTTGAGTCTACCAGACCTTCTGAGTTGTCCGTTCACATTTTCGTTCGCGTTCGCGTCCTCTATTATCTCCTCCTCCAGTACCCTTACCTACAAATTACGCATTGAATGCGTAATTCCACAGTATTTCCGCATATTCTCCGCATTGTAAATTACACACTTTTTCCGCAAGTGCAGAGTATTCAGAATTCCACAAATGCGTAAAAATTGAAAAAATAAAAATTTACGCACTTGCGTAGAAAATGCGTAAAAAAATCCACAAATTTTCCACATTCTGCATGTGAAAACGTGCTGTTCAGGACTTGGCGTTTTAAAGGAATAGTTGATGGATAGACGGACGGACACTGCGGAATGCCATAATGCTAACAATGGTCCTTCGGACCAGGTGAGCTAAAAATCAAGATCGTGGATGCCATGAAATTTATCAATAGTTTTAATATTTTCTATTGCAAATAAATGAGGGTTTTAGTAGGTCTCCAATCTTTCTGTTGATGTCTGCGATGCTCGCTTTTGAAAAATTCTCTTGGACTATATCTGAAAATAAAGAAAAAAAGTTAATGAGAAGTTTGTTATGCCGTCCACCACTAGCGGGGCAGCATAATAATGTTGTTGACTGGCTGAAAACTGAAGTGAACTGTATGCGTGTGTGTGTGTGTGTCGGTGCATAAAGTGTGCTATCCTGCACTGCAACTTTTGCACATATAATCATGGTCATTTGTGTGTTTGCTTCTAATGCTTCATGTTTAGTTCACAACACATGACACTGTTATGTCATGCTTAACGTTGATAGTCCAGCGAGCATGGCTTTATGTCTCTAAGACATATTTTAAGCCATTATTATTTATTTTATTGGATTACATTGTAAGATCCTACCTATTACATTCTCACATTAAAATATAAAATCAAACATACCAGTTAAACTTCAATGACCCATGAATAACGTTCTTCTAAAGGTACAATATGTTTTATTCTCATCACATAAACTGAGTGACAATTTAGACTAATGAATCATGAATTAAGGAGTTTAAAATAAATATCTTACCACATAAAACATCTTTTTTCCTCTGGTTGATGGCCCGTTTCCCAGCAAAACCTGTCGCGGTGCAGCCATCAACCTCTTCCTGACAAAACATCTGTCTAAAAAGCAACTTTGTAGCCTTGCCAAAATCCTTAACTCCTCTAATTTTGAAAAGCAGTTGTTCCTGTCAAAATTTAAAAAGTTATTTGTATAATCTCATTATATGAACAAATGTCAGAAGCAATAACAAAAAAAGTCAGCCTGTAATATCAATCAGCTTAGTCACTAGTCCTGAAGCAGTAAAAAAAAATATTGCATATATAAGACCTGAGGCGATGTCAGATCATTTAAAATAAGCTCAGTGTAAAAAAAAAAATGAAATCCCACTTTTTAGGGTAATTTCTATGGAGAATTTTAATATCTAACATTGGAACCCACACAAGAAAAAAGTCTGAAATCAGGTTTTTGACCGACAATTCTCATGCCTGGAACCTAACGGATGATTCATGGAAGACAGATTTGTAATATTATAGGTCACATTATTATTAAAGCCTTAAAATTTAGACTTAACTGTTTTATTTAGCTCACATGAGCATTTTATGTGAGCCAAATAAAACAGTTTAGTCTACTTTAGTTTGTTCAATTAAGGCATCTCCATACACAGCATTAAACCTAAAACCTTGAGCTTGCTCACATGATTCAGGTTATAATATAAAGCCATGTTAATAAGTCATTTATTATAATTTGAAAGCTATACCTTGCTAAACCCATTGAAAAGTTGATCAGCGATTCCTCCACTGTAACTTCATTGGATGTATTAATACCAGCGGCAAATGGCTGCAGATTCTGATCCTGGAAAATGCATAAAAAAAGACGTCAGCATTACTCGCTAGTGCTTTCTTGAGTTCTTGAAATGCTACCTCCTGTTCAGATTTCCACTCAAACTTGTGATCTTGACGCGTCAACTTCCTTAATGGTTCACTGAGGGTCGCCAAATCTGGGATAAATCGACCTGCAAAGTTGACCAATCCGAGGAAACTCCGAATTTCTGTTGCGGTTTCCGGTTGTCTAGATTTCAATATGGCCTCCACTTTGTTATCCGATAGACCAATTCCTTTTGCAGACAGGACATGCCCCATGAATTCAATCTTTGGGAGCTTGAATTTACATTTGTCATAGTTCAAGGTTAAACCTCGTTCCTCAAGTACACTCAAAACTTTTTGCCTCCCTTTCCTTTTCCAGCTTTCTTATTGTTACAGCTTTTTGTTCTACAACATTTTTCAATGTCCAATGTTAGTACACTTTCTACACTTCTAATCTTTAGCGGGACATTTTGGATCCTTTTTCATGTGTCCTGTGTATCCACACGCATAACATTTCATAGCTGACTGATAGCTACTTGACTGACCTGGTTTCCTAGAACTCGACGTTACTTTCGCTTTCACTTTGTTTACTTCCGCTTTTCCGTTTCCAACTATCTCCATTGAACTAGCTGCCCTTTGTGCCATTTCATATGTTTGTGCTAATTCACGAATTTGATCTAACGTTATGTTTCTCCTCTCTAGAAACTTTCTCCTCAATCGTGACGAGCTACATTTCTCTATTACCTGGTCCCGTATCATGCCGTCTCCATCTCGAAAATCACAGAATACTGCCTTTTCACGTAGACGCGTGATAAACATTTCAACCGTTTCTGAGGTATCCTGGCTCATGGCCCTGAATTGGGATCTTTCGAAAGATACATTTACTTGTGGCGTGAAATGTGCCGTTAATGCGGTATTTGCGACAGTATACACCGTTTGTCCATCTCCCGGATCACCAACTTGTAAGGTGAAAAATATATCCTGTACCTTAGGCCCAGCACAATGTAGAAATAATGCTCTTTTCTGACCAGGGTCATTCACACCCTTACCTTCCGCATATAACTCAAAAGAGCTGACCAATTTATTCCAGTGTTGACCAGCCAAAGTAAAAGGTGACGGATCAAATTGTTGTATTACCCCAAAGTCCGACAAACTTATTGCTTGAGCCATTTTAAATGTTTGTTTTTACCCTCGTCGCCAGTTTATAGTGTCTTCATGGATGGATGATTGGATCATTACCGGATTGAACCGAACCTTTAGTTATCAACATAACAAACACACCATTCAAGGTCTTCACACATGGAACTTCCGGTTTATTGCGCATGTCACATAACATGAATGATTCACGTTACATATACAATTGATAACGACTGTAGATATTATTAGATATCAATAACATATAGTATACGAATACTACATTCCATTTTTAGCTCACCTGGCACGAAGTGCCAAGTGAGCTTATGCCGCGGCGCGGCGTCCGTCCGTCGTCTGTCATCTGTCGTCCGGCGTCAATATTTTACTTTAAACAACTTCTTCTTAATAACCGAAAGGCCTAGGGTGTCGATATTTGGCCAGAAGCAAACTTGGATGAAGGGCTACAAAGTTTGTTAAAATTAATGACCTTTACCTATTTTCAAGGTCACAGCGGTCAAATATGTTAAAAACTTTAAACATCTTCTCAATAACCAAAATGCCCAAGGAGTTGATATTTGGCCAGTAGCATGCTTGGGTGAAGGGCTACCAAATTTGTTCAAATGAATGACCTTCAATTATATTCAAGGTCACAGAGGTCAATTGTATTAAAAAAACTTTTAAAAAACTTCTTCTGAATAACCAAAATGCCCAGGGGAATGATATTTATGCCAGTAGCATGCTGAGATGAAGTGCTACAAAGTGTGTTCAAATGAATGACCTTCACCCATATACAGGGTCACAGGGGTCAACTATGTTAAAAACTTCAAAACAACTTCTTCTGAATAACCAAAATGCCCAAGGAGTTGATGTTTGGCCAGTAGCATGCTGAGATGTAGTGCTACAAAGTTTGTTCAAATGAGTGACCTTTATTCATATTCAAGGTCAAAGGGGTCAAATATGTTTAAAACTTTAAACAACTTCTTCTGAATAACCAAAATGCTCAGGGTGATGATATTTTGCCAGTAGCATGCTGAGATAAAGGGCTACAAAGTTTGTTCAAATGAATGACCTTTATTCATATTCAAGGTCAAAGGGGTCAAATATGTTTAAAACTTTAAACAACTTCTGAATAACCAAAATGCCCAGGGTGATGATATTTGGCCTGTAGCTAGCTGAGATGAAGGGCTACAAAGTTTGTTCAAATGAATGACATTTACCCATATTCAAAGTCACAAGGGTCAAATATGTGAAAAACATTCAAAAACTTCTTCTGAATAACCAAAGTGCACAGGGTTATGATATTTGGCCAGTAGCATGCTGGGATGAAGGGCTACACAGTTTGTTCAAATGAATGACCTTCACCCATATACAGGGTCACAGGGGTCAACTATGTTAAAAACTTCAAAACAACTTCTTCTGAATAACCAAAATGCCCAGGGTAATGATATTTGGCCAGTAGCATGCTGTGATAAAGGGCTACAAAGTTTGTTCAAATGAATGTCCTTTACCCATATTCAAGGTCACAGGGGTCAAATATGTTTAAAACTTTAAACAACTTCTTCTGAATAACCAAAATGCCCAGGGTAATGATATTTGGCCAGTAGCATGCTGAGATAAAGGGCTACAATGTGTGTTCAAATGCATGACCTTCACCCATATTCAAGGTCACAAGGGTCAAATATGTTAAAAACTTCTTCTGAATAACCAAAATGCCCAGGGTAATGATATTTAGTCAGTAGCGTACTAGGATCAAAGGCTACCAAGTTTGTATAAATGTATGACCTTGAATCATATTCAAGGTCACAAAAAGCAAATATGTTCAAAATATTCCAACAACTTGTTCTGAATAACCCAAAGGCCCAGGATGTTGATATTTAGTCAGTAGCATATGCTGGGATCAAGGACTACTTTGTTTGTTAAAGTGAATGACTTTGACTTATATTCAAGGTCACAGGCGTCAAATTTGTTTAAATCTTTAAACAACCTCTTCTGAATAACCATGGGTCCCATGATGTTTATACTTTGCAAGTTGCATCCTGAGATGAAAGGCTATACAATGTGTTCAACATAATGACTTTGTTCGACTTTCAATCACAGGGGTGAAATGTTCAAAAAAAAATTAGCAGGGTCTTTTGAATGAATTTTAATCATAAATACTGATATTTTGCCTGTAGCTTTATTTTAGATCAATTTTAAGGTTACAAGTGTGAGTTTTATACCAGGTGATGGGCGATGCAGGCCCATTGGGCCTCTTGTTGACTGGAGGCATCCCTAGGTAGTGGATATTCAAGATTGTACAGATGGTGGGGCTGAGGGGCGGGGCAAAAAGGGGTAAATTTGGCTATATTGCTTTAAGCGACCTCTTCTCTGGAATTAAGAAGTGGATATCAATTATATTTGACTGGAAGCATCCCTAGGTAGTGGATACTCAAAATTGTACAAATAGTGGGGCTGACCCGCCCCCCTAGGGGGCTGAGGGGCGGGCCCAAAACCCAGATAGCACACCGCTGATGGGCCAACATTGGCCCAACGCAGGCATACAACATTGGCCCAACAACTGTCTGTCCGTTGCCCCAAACGTTGGGCCACTGGTGGCAGAAAATTAGTTACTTTATGTCTTACATTTCTTTGTTGCTGTTAAATTATTTTATGGTGTTTGTTAAAGAAACATTAGCAATAAAAATAGTAGATATTTGTCACTTAGAACAAATATGACTCGACCGAGACAAGATATTAACTTGATAGAACACTATAATAAAATACTGTAAATGTATAATATATATCGATTAAAAACCGGGTTAGTTTAATAAAAAAAAAAAAAAAAAAAAAAAAAAAATCTGCCTCATCCCAATAGACCATCTGCTGTTGATGTTAAGGCATCATAGCAGCATATGGTGGTGGTTGTGGGGGTGATGTGAGGATTGGGACGGTGGCGGCAGGTGATGACATGGAAGTAATAAGAACCAAGGTGGCGGTAGCAGCGGTGATGACAGGCATGGTGGTGGGTATGGCTTGTATATATCAGATCACATTAGTTTTGTTTAGGGTTTAGTGTTCTCACAACAACCAAGGTTATATGTAGATGATAATACATTAGCAATATTTCACTTACCTTATATCAATAGTCTGAAACTGTTGGTGGCAATGATATTTTCAACCTCACCATTACCCATATATTTGACAATGTAGACATTTAGTTCTTGTCCCGTTCTCATAAATTCCACCACTGCATAAGCGTAGGATGAATTGATATACACTGTCTCGGAAACAAATGAGAAAGACAAATCATTTTCAAATCTGAAAGTAGACTCATTTGCCATTTTATTTAATGATATGAGAAGAACAATGTGTGGTTGTACAGTGAAGATCAATCTTAAGGGTCTATCCGTTATTAAAATACGTTGCCTTTCTTTTACTTATCGTTAGAAGTCTTTTTACACAATACAAATTGTGTATCTTACAGATTTATTTACAATGTGGCTAGTCAATCTTCTAAAAAAAAATCTCAACTTGTCTTTTAAATATTAAGATTCATAGAAACATCTTTTAAGTTACTTTATGTCTTTCATTTCCTTTGTTGCTGGTAAATTATTTTATGGTGTTTGTTAAAGAAACATTAACAATAAAAATAGTAAAGATATTTGTCACTTAGAACAAATATGACTCGACTGAGACGAGATATTAACTTGATAGAAGACTATATATAATACAATACTGTGAATGTATGAATATCAATAAAAAGGGTCTAAATTATTTTTGCTATAAAAATTCTACCTCGTCCCAATAGACC